TTCATCTTCAAAGATCTAGATAATTTCTACAGAGACATATACAGATAAATTAACTTTTATTTTTTTCCTGAAAAAAGTGGTCATATGAATGCTTGCAGAGAGGCTGAAAATTTGAAGGGGACAATATATCTAAAAGGTCAGTACATGGCATCTGCAGATTGATTGCTGAACTGTAACTGGGATCTCTCTGCAGTTTGTTTCAGGGACTTGCTCTCATCATTTATCACTAGGGTATCTCGAGGATACTTGGCTACCAGGGACATTATAGTAAAGGAAGTCAGAATTCATAATTAATTAACAGGTCGTAGAGTAGTTGCATGCAGAGAGCCCTGTGGAGCAATAAATTCCCTAGTCCTACCTCATGAAGTTCGGTGCCAGACTTTTCTTGCTGTATGCTCCTGTCCTGTATAAAGCTGTTTCCTTTTCTGACCTTAAGCAGAGTTCCAGACTAGTGTTTTGGGCAGACCCCAGGGGTGCCATAAAGTTGTATCACTTATGACACAGTATGTTACTTAATCTTAGGCATACAGTTATTTCAGCCCCCACAGTCCAACATGACTGCTGATTGTAGAAATGCATCGTTCTGGATAAATTCCCTGATCCATGTTGATGCTTTTTGGTTGGAAAGGGTGGGAGGGATGAGAGGAGAGGGAAGAGAACGGTTTTATCTGTTTTACCATCATGGACGTCTGTGAACTTTCAGTAAACAGCATGACTTTCTGAATCTGGTTCATAGCTTTCATGCTTGCTTTCTAATCTGTTTCAGAACAGAGCAGCTGTAAGCTTGTATTGTTTCATAGGGAGCTGTTGTTTTGTACTAGAGAAAGAGCAGACATGCTTTAACTTTCACTTGTGCACAACTGTGTACAGTAATTTCTCTGCTCTGTGACTAGCATATAACAATCCTAGACTATTTTAGATAGTGGCTTTCCTGTTCTCCAAGTCTAAAACTGTTTCTTGTTTGAGGTTTATTGAGATTTGAATCTTACTGAGATGTGTATGGAAATATTCTGTAAATGATATAAAGGTCTTCCTAAAAACAGCTTACCTGTAAATGATTAAAGGGGACAGCCTTTGCTAGGGATGTCTACAGTGTATGAACATTATCACAATGGGGAAATATATAAAGACATGATTTATCTGTAAAGCATAATTGATCATTCAGATATAAAAGATATTATTGGAACTTTTCTTTGGGTCTTATGGCCAGTCTGGCCACAAAATGTGCTTCTCTATGGCAAAATCTGCATCTCTCTTGATCAAATTTTCAGAAAAAGGTGGGGTTTATTTCTGCTTATTTGTGAAAAATGCAGTATTAGAATTATGAATTTGAACTAGAACTTCATAAAAGTAGGCTATATTCCCTGCCATTTCTTAGTTTATGGTGGAGTTTTTATTAAGGGGATGAATACAGATGAACCATAGGATAAGTACTGAAGACAAGAAGATGGTCAAGATCGCTGGAGAGGATTATTTTTTAAGGAAGGAAGAGGAACATGGAAGTTGCAGGTATATGGGGCAGGGATATATAAGGCACAAAATAGACACTGAAAGGAATAAAAATAAGTGAAAAGTCAGCAGAAAAGTGAGTGAGTGGTATATAAGGATGATCTTAAGTCATTAAAATATAAACCAGTAGTTCTTAAAAGAATTCAGCAGCAAAAAAGCAGCAATTGTATGGAAGAAATAAAACTCTTTCAGCAGGTAATTAAATGCCATCCAATTTCACAGTTGAGTAACACTATACTGTATAGTGCAAGTGTTTGTTAAACCTTTGTACAAAAATGTCAGCCTTTGGGCTGATATTGTCACTGCTATGGTGGAGTGGTCTAGTGTTAATATTCCAGAATGTAATACTAAGCAGTGCTAGGCATATGGGGAATTTCTACAGTATTTTGGTCGGTTGTGTTTCTTTGTTTTCAATTCATGAAGGTTAACTACTGCTGCAGCTTTACCCTTATTTTTCAACAGACTTTTTAGCAGTTTCGGTGCTGGGCAAATCCAATGATCATTATAGGGATCTGTGAGTTGAAAATAAGAAAGTTGTTATATGGGCTTATTTTTTTCATTAATGATAGTTACAGTTGCTATAAGATTCAGTTATTAGAAAAAATCTGTCCAGGTATTTGGTTATTAAAAATATTTCAAATTATTTGCATATAATATTATTCAACTTCATAAAGTGGCTGTGGTAATAATCCACTGCCCAAAGAAATAAATGTTCAATACTTAAAATAATACTATTTTTTGCGGAATACTATCCCTTAATTCATTCTTACTGAACTTTTGAAAGTTATCTGAATATGAAAGATTATTTCCAGTTTCCAGAGCAGGAGGCAGGATTCACAGATTCCCAGCTGTGAAGAAGTTACTGGCAAGAGCTTTCTGAGCCCAGACAAAAAGCTGATGTTAACTTTCTTTCATTTATTCTTCTTTTCTAGCCCCTAACCAGCAGTTCTTTCTTCCAGTTCACTTCAGCTTCAGACAGAACTACTAATACATACTGATGAGTTTTTAATGAATCATTTTTAGTTTGCTTTCTACATTTTAAAAGTGTCTGGCATTTTTGTGTGTCGTGGCATAATACTAAATCAGTAGGACTTTACAGATGTTACTTGATAATAGGATCTTAACTCACAGAGCTTAAAATTTTTATTAGTGTTTATAGTATTGGTTTGAGGTATTTCACATAATGTTTCCCTAGACAACTGTTAGGAGAGATCTAAATGTTTAACATATGTGACTGTTCACTAATATAACACATGATTTTACCACTGCTATCTGTATGTCCTGTCACATTCCTCCCCCTTTCTCATTTTTACAAAATAGTGTTCCTTTTGGAAAGAATCCTTGTGGCTGACAGGTTTCACCTATGAAAACCCCCAGAGCAAGAATCCTATCTGGATGGGTGGCAAGGTCTAACTAACCTCCTTTTTTTGTGTAATGAGTGTGAGGGAGAGGGGGGAAGCTCACTGTGAACTCCTACAGGGATGTTTCATCAAAAATAAATGGTTGTTCAAATCTGGCTATTTTACAGACATGCAAACACCTCTCCTGGACATTTATGTCTAACGGGGGCTTCTGCAGATGTGAAACTGTCAGGAGGGTTTAGTTTATGCTTCTGACAGAGATGACCAGAAGAAGGCAAATGCATTCAAACATAACTGCTCTCTGCTAGAACTGTCATGATGATCTTTGCTTTGGGATTCTTTTCTTTTTTTTTAACTGCTGTCTTGTATATTATTCTACCCATGAAATAGGGATCCCTAAAATCCCCATTTTTAATTTCCCCCCCCAACACCCAATTCTATTTCCTATTTAAAAATCATTTAACCTTCAATCCACTCAGTGAATATGCTGTGCACAATAACACATGATGATCACTCTTGGTAATGTCTGTTATAGAAAGAACAGATTTCAGTCCATGTTTTATGGTTATGCATGTTCACCTTTCACTCAGAGTAACATAAGGTGACAAATGTACCTAGGAACCTTTTTCCTGTATTAACTTGTGGTAACTGGAGAGCAACCTCCTGAATTACCTTATCAACACTGCTCACATGCTGAGCCATAAATGACTGTGGGAGAATGCTTTCGGAAACTTGAAAACTTCAGATGTGATTGACTCCAAAAGACATCTTTGGCACCTAAAAATAAAGAGAAGACCTTTCATATTCTTCATTTAGTGAACAGATGAAATTTTGAAAGGTTATTTTGTGTGTTAAATACTCAGAACTCACTATGTGCTTTATTTAATTATCCCACGTGCTCTGCATTTAAAGGATGGAGAAACTGGGGTTGGCAAAAGAAGTAATACACTGGGATCACAAAAGAAGCTCATGATCCCTTCAGTAGAGTAGTAGTCTGGCTGTTTTCCAACGAGCTGGCTGACTACATGTTGATTTCTGTAAGAAGTACAGCGCAAGTGCAGGTTGACCTATGTGTGGTCGGTCAATCTATGACTGTCATTTGTCTAAGGCAGCCTTTTCTTTGTATTTCTTCACAAGATGATCCATACCGGTTTACTTTTTGTTCATTTGTAGAGTGTAGTTGACTTGAGATGAGAAGTTCTGGTTTTATTCTTTCTGTAATTCTGTTTTTATTTTTCTAACCAACATGAAAAATGTTCAACAGCTCAGACTTATGCCTGAGAGAATCCTGTTCCCAGTCATGACATTTCTTCTTTGTCCAATGTTGTTTTTTTTGAGAGAAATGAAGGTCTTTTGCAAAAGCAAAGCTTAAACCAACTGTCTGAGTGATGAATACTAATCACTGGTTTTGAGATGTTTACTGGCAGGCAAACAAAGCAAAGAACTGAACTCTCTCTATCAAACTTTGTATTTGTGAATTTGTATGACCAGATATATACAGATAATAGTAAAACATAGAGCTTCATTTGTGGCAAATTAGTACAGTCTCAATAAATACAGAAATAAATTAAGATACATGCTATGAAGAGAATTGCTAGTGTATGAAAAGCTAGCTGTGTGGTCACTGAAATACAGGGTAGAGAAAGGGGCTCTGAGTTTTTCAAATATCTTCATTCTTTTACTTTCTTTACTGTATTCATTTTTTAACAACTCTATTGACTTGTTCCTTGACATGAGGCTTTTCCAGCAACAAAGGTCTTCATCTGAAAAGCTCACCTTAAGACATAGTAATTTCAAGCAGTTGCATTTAAGGTCCTTGTAAGGACCCTTATTCTCTTCAGAGCAGGGATCACATTACGTACTCATACTACTTTTGAAAACCAACAACACCACTGCCAAAGCATCTACCCTTAGAGACTTCTCATGTATCGTGTAGCCTTTTTGCTATCAAATTCCATTGCAGTGCAAATAGTTCAGTCCCTGCTAGGGCTGACGTCACTGAACTGAGTGCATTTAGGATATGCATTTCTATATTCACTTTATTTGGAAACTGACATATATATATTTAAAATTATATATAGATACATATATGAGGAAAAAAAAAAGGATCAAAGGCTTTTTTCTTCCTAAATAATTTGGGTGTCTTTTTCCTCTGTTTTAGTCAAATATATGAGAGTAGTTTAAAAATTGTTTTACCTGGAGTTGCCAAACTTGGCTGTATATCTGAGCAGTCTGGATGAGAAGCCTTTGCAACTGATATTGTCCTCAAGCAGCTGATCATCAGAGCATTTCCTTCCCCTATCCAATCCAGCAAAATGAGCACATCCAGCAGGCAGAGCTCTTCTACGTCTATGGTCAACAACTTGGCCAAAATATTTGATCCAAATGCTTTGCAAACCCAAGGGCCTGATAATGGAACGGAACCCCCCCAGATTCTTCATGTTGAAAGCAGTGATGTCAGCACATCTGAAAGTTTTAACATCATGGATATGAAGTTTGCCTCCCTTGAACAGAAAATAGATAAGCTGTTGATTCTGCAAGACAGTGTTCTTAAGAAGCTTAACAGCGTTTCCCAAGAAATCTGTTGCATTGAAAAAGACATTGAGATTGTAAAGGCGGAAACAACTGAACCTGAATCAAGGATGGAAAGAAACAAAAGTCTGAGAAGTAATGACATGAAGAGGCTTTGCCTTAAAATGAAAAAATCTCTTTCTGATATGAACAGGAATGCAGAGCAGCAGGTTAAAAGACTAGATGGACTGGAGCAAAGTGTTTCTGGATTACAGAAGCTTGTAGGGCCTCTGGTGGAGAAGGTTAAAACATTAGTAATTCGTAATTCGAGTGTAAAACACCATGTTCAAAAACGTAAACTCTGCAAGGCAGGTGATTATACAAAAGGAGCTGGACATGTTTTTAGAATGCACATTTTCTCAGAGACGACAGCTGATGCCCTGCTCAAGAAGAAAAGTGAAAAGGTGAGCCCAGGTTTGTGTTTCATCCTGTTAGGAATTATTGCAAGCTAAAGATATGTTCTGCTATGCACTTAGCTTTTTTGTTTCACTAACACATAAGAGAAAACAACCAATAACCTCTAAAAATGCAAAGTATTGGAAAAAACTGTGGAAGTTTCACTGGAAAAGATAGAAAATCTGCTGAGTGATAAATACTTTCATTTTTTTCTAATTAATTCTTTAGAGTTGTCAAACATAACTATGGGTCACTGACATGGGTAACAAAGATTGACACACAGCTCAGGAGGCTGGGGTTCTCACCATACATTTTACTATAATCCTCTCTGGATTTATAATTATCTGGGGGACTCAAGTTGCAGCATGTTATTTGCAGTGGGGTCTAGAGCATTGTGAACCTACTAAAAATCCTTCTTGGGTCAGGGTATGTACATATGAATGTTGTTTATTTCAAAGAACATCTTAAGTGTGCTGTTCTGATCTGGTATTTCTGTGGCCATTAGTGGGGAGGGGAGGACTTCTAAACTAGGATCTGAGGTAGGGTTACCGTAACTGGAGCTGCAGCTTGTGTAAACTTCCTCAGGGGAGGAATGCCTGTGTCACCATAACAGAAATTTCATCATATTCTTTACAGGTCAGATTAAAAATCCACAAAAATCCCTTGAAAGGCTCTATTGATTATAATAGGCCCTTATAAGGCAGCTTGACTATTCTTTGTTTTGTAAAGAAGCCAGATAGCATTTGAAATTTAAGGGATTTCTTCTGACAAAGTACGTTAATATTTTATTAACCTACAGTGAGCCAAAAAAGTTGTCTTTCATATTTTCTTCCACTTTGCTTTGCCTCCCTTTCCCCCTGCCCCCTAAAAAGAAGTCACAAACAGGCTTTACTCTTTGATTAATTTAAAGAATAATTGTTGAGTTTGTTTTTCTAAAGTTTTTGATTAGGAAAACATCATTTGAAGGTATTATTGGAAATGGCATTTCTTGAACAAAGAAGCACCCAATATTACTTAGACTGCTCAGGTCATCAAGCCAGGTGCTTTTCAGCTTGGCTGCTCTTAATCAGCCCACTTCTCAGGTAGACCAGAATCATTTGAGCCGTTGTAGGCAACTATAAAAACAGAAGTCAGCCCTGAGTAGCAGCAGAGGAGCATCTTGTAAAGCTCTGTCAGCTGAACTGGCTGTTCTACCACTATGTAAACATATAAAATGTGCAGCCTTATTTCCAGAGCATCATTAACTGAAGGGGAAAGCTGCTGCTCTGCCAAAGGAGACAACAAAAGTGGTTTCTACAGGCCCTTCTTGAACATCAGGTTGGACTGGTTTCAATAAAAAGAAGTTTTCTTGGTTTGTACCATTACTTTGATGAGAAAAATTATGTACCGTAAGCATCTGAGTTTAAGGCTTCTTTTACTTTTCAAAGCATCAATGAAAATATCTTCCATAAAATACCCATCATAATGAGACCCACAGGTCATCTCTGTAGTGCTGTGATCACTGCAGTTTGTGGTAGAGCTCTATCTGTCTCTGTGAAATTTCATGTTCATCTAAACTATTTATAAATATAAACTGAATCAGTCCTGGAATGATAATGAAACGGCAGCTCCTGGAGGTCTGAGTAGGTTCAAGGCTCTCCTTGCTAAAAATTCAACATAAGAGAAAGGAGGGGACTGTGCAGGATTTGCCAGTGAGTTTGTGTGAGCCAGTGGGTGTAGTGGAAGAGGCAGGTCAGAGGAGGAGGCCATGCTCCTGGCAGGCCAAAGGGGAGCCAGAATGGCAGGGATGCAGTGCCAAGTGGAGAACTTAGAGCTACTAAGGGCCTGGAAGTAGAACATGATGGAAACAGAGGCAGCCTACCTACAAGGACTCAAAGAGGAGAGGGACGAGCAGAGTCTCTGTGTTTTCCAACAGCAGCTCCATTTGTAATCCCTTCACTGATTCATTTTTGTTTAGGCAGACTCTTGGTGATGTTGAGCAGACTTCGTAGAAGCTTGTCTTCCATGTGGGCTTAGCAAAGGCGTCACAAGCATGTCTGGAATCACGCTGGTGATATTATTAAGTTGTTAATATTTTGTTTGTTTTATGAGATAGCATGCATATGTTAGCTTGTCATTACCTTCCTCTCTGTGCATTTGATTTACTAGTAAAGGACCATCATAAAATTACCAAGCTATCTTGTGAACAACAGCTGGCTTTAGTAAACACTTAGTCATCTTGGATTTAAATAAAAACAGACTTGAAGTCAGCCCTGCATCAAGAATAATGCAGAATGGTATGATATTCTTTAGCAGAGACTGCTGAGCTTGGCTGCCAGCTTAGTAGGAGCCCATATTTACTGGTGTTCAGGGCAAAGAATGTCTCCTTTGTGTAACGGAGTAGTAACAGCATTTCTGAGCACGTTAGTGAAAAAACTGTTCCATGAGACACTGTGAAGTTGCTTGTGCGTGCCTCTGCCTGCCGCATACTCAAACTGGATTTACAAACAAAGTGTTAAATTGTGAGAAAAGCAGAAAAAAAAAGCAAAGGAATAGAGAAATAAGGATTTCACCCTTGCAGGGTTTTACACCTGAAATGTACCACTGATACCTGGTGGCATAACAATGAACAAATCTGTCTGATTATGCAGAATTCATTCCTTGCTTCTGTTAACACAATCCTTATCACCATTTCCAGTCCCCCGCTAATGACAATTTTGACCCTGCAGAAATGCAGGCTGCCTGGCAGTAAGACCAGTGTCTCTTTTATCCTAGGTAAACTCCACATGGCAACACTGAGCAACCCTTCAATGACTTTAAACATACACAGTCCTATTCTGTTTCCTTACAGCCCTGAACAAGGTGATCCATTCACTACAGTTAATTTGGAAGGACAGTACCCACTTCAGTGCATTGCTTGAGTTGGTCAGGTGTTTTGGATGATGTGTCTATTTGTCATCTACCCTGCCCCAGCTATAAGCAAATTGCATCTTTTAGTTCTAGTGACTTAAGATGTCTGAGAAAAACTTGGCTGTCCCAGCCCAGTTCTGGAAAATCATCCACTAATTCTTAATTACTAGTAGATAGCGCAATAGGTGGTATGGATACATCTGGATAAGGAAGCGGATTGTGCTTACATACTATTTAATCACCTGCCTTCCCATTCTTTCCTCTCTAGAGAGGTGCTGCTTTATGCTTTATTAATGGTAGGATTCTTTTTGAATTTTTCCTATCTGACTCGTTTTACAGAGCTGAATTAAGTAGAGAGCAGTGGAAAAGGCAGAATAGCGGGAAGGGAAGAAGAGGAATGGGAGAGGGGTAAAGAAGGGGTGATAAGCAGCTGGAGTGTGTAATCTCTCTTCTGGCTTCAGCAGCATTGGGGCAGTTTCCCAATCATATGCTCCACTTTTTGTGCTCTTGTAACATATAGGGATCACTCTCCTCCGAAGCAAAATTTCTGCTTTCCTGCCTTTTACTGCCGTCCTGAAATACCTTCACTGCCTTGTATAGGAGGTTAGTTTATTTCTGTCTTGGGTTGGAGTTACAATATTGTGTAGCCTGCAGACACTTCATGCTTTGTCAGTGCTGCCAAATGTCTCCAAGCCGTTTTCCACTGAGCGCAGCGTGACCCTATCACCACATGGCTGAGAGAAGTAGCATGAATTACTTGTCATTTTAAGTTATTTTCTCACTACTACCACCCAGGGAAATCAGCAGTTCTACAGTAAGGGTCTTTAAAAGTCTTGAGGTTTTCCTCAAATTCACCTTTTTAAGTAGTCTGTTAGTCTGTGATAATCCTGTTGCAAAATAACTCTGTAACTCCATTTTCAGTCTTATTTCTTCCACATATAAAGAAAGGGGTAAAATAATAATACTTCACTTATTTCCTCCAAATTAAACCATTTAGAGATTCTACACTATTAACCTGCAAATACTCACCTGGAGGGTCAGAAAGTCCCTTTTTTGCCATCATAGATTTCTGTTGAACTTTCTGTAATTGCCTGTGTGTTGTTGTAACTTTGGTCTCCTGCCATTTCTACAGGCTTTGCCATATGACTAGTAACTGTTAGAGGTTTGAGGCTGTTTCCCACACTAAAACTACACCAGCAGTAGGAGCTGTGTTTTCTGCTTGAACCCTCTGTTCCTCCCATGTAGTTCCTCCTCACTGTCTGCTTTAGTAGGAGTCTGGAGTGAAACTGCTGTTTGCCACCCTTATTTTAAGATCCATTCAGCGTCGGTTCACAGCTGTTCTTCCGATTCTTTCACTTTGCCTATAAATGCTAAAGGGTCCCATATGCATTCTTCAGAGTCTCTCTAGATTGGCTGTGTTCTGTGTATTTTTCATATTCCAGCCAAATAGTCAGTAATTTTCATTTTCTGTTTTTATCTGTCTTCAAGAGTTGCTGCTGTCCTTGGTGGTTTTTGAGGGTAGGGGCTTTCTGCAGAATCTCATCAGATGGGTTCTCTGCTGCTTGGGCAAAGCATGCAGTCAACATGTTCAGCTGTCATTATTCCTGGGGATGATCTTCTTCCCCTCAGGACTGATGCCTTTACCTAAATATTTTCTTGGGAGAATTATTCCAGTTTTGAGTGAGCTACAATATGTTAGAATTATAATCCTCTCTCTGGCTTTCTCTGTCTATAAAACCGGTATATTTTCTCCAGATGACATTTTCATCACATTTTGCCCTGTTCTCAGTGTAAGGGAACTGACAGCCATAGGAGGTTTTTCATGACCTTCCAATTCATAATGCTTTTTAATTTTGCTTTCACTTCCCCTCAGAATTTGCTGTGTTCTCTACAGTGTTCTCAGAGTAGGATCCTGCCCTGGGCACTGTTGTTATGGTTTTGCTGTCTTTACAACTCTGAGGAACATGTGGAATCAAAGCAGGCACATCTGATTTCTACATGCCTGCACGCCACCTTGGGTGGGTTATGAGTGTGACATTAATGCCTGTGTGTTTAAGAATTCATTACGATTCCTTTACAAAACTAGGGAGACCTCATGATGAAGATGATAACTGGCAAG